AAGTAGAAAAGTGTTTTTGAAAATGTATGCTAAAAGTTAATACAACATTTTGGTATCTCAATTTTGTATCCGGCTACAAAGATATATATAATGACATAATTATAGATTTAATGTAATTATTTGCACCATTGTTGAAATTTAACCGTAGTAAATAATAAAGAAATTGGAAAGAAAATATAATTTTTATTTAAAATGCAAGCCTTGCGCACAGATTGGTCAAATTTTTCTGTCTCGAAAAAATTGAACGCAATTTTATTTAATTTTTCACCACATAATTGTTGTGAATAATAATTGTCTTAAGTGGATGTACGTATATATATTTTTGTAAGTTGTAACAGTAAGAGCACTAATGCGAAGGAATTTCAAGTGCGTTGGTATTGTTTGTTTGTAAAGATAATTGTACCGAAAAACTAAAAACAAATAAGAAATACTTGAAAATAAAAAACAAATAAAGTGAGTTATTGAACCACAACATAGGCTAATTGTAAGTGTCTAACAAATTCCACTTTTTGATATAGAAAATCTACATTTTGCATATCAATTTTTTTTAAATTATAAAAATCGTTAAAACAGTATTAAAATACCTATGCTTTTTATAATAAATATAATAAATAACAATAAATTTTATATAGGTTTATCAATAAGTAAATTTCTATTATAAATTTATTTTATTATAACTTGGAAGTATGATTAAACTACTGTACCTATATCAAATTTAATTTAAATATATTTATAAGTTAACCTCTGCTTTAATTCACTTAATAAAGGAAAAAAGAAATGATAGCACACCGTAAATAAATATTGCAATAAATCCATACAATTTAAAAATTAGAGTTGAGTGAACCGTGGTAAAAATAGAATATATATACACATTGGTAGTTCTGTATGTAAACTATGCATGAGTGCAATTTATATGATAAAAAATATTATATGTAATGAGAATTTGTACATTATGTAAATAAATTATATTAGTACAAGCACAAGTAAGGTTAATTAATAAAAAATATTTTTAGTAATCATTGCACTGATAGTTCTGATTTACTCTGACTGTCGACTTCTTATTGAAAACATTTACTTTATAATATATATTAAAATCATTATAACGTTTAGAATTAAGAATATTTTAATAGCGGAATGACAAATTCCTCTAAAACATCAATGTCATATGTTCGAAACACAACAAAAAACTTAACCTCAACTTGTCAAAAAAAAAAACAATAAAAAATCCCATAGATAATAAAATTATCTATTCTCTAATTTGAAAAAACGATACGCATTTAGATTTAAATTTATAAAAAACTCTTAAATGAAAAACAGTAATTTATGTTAAAAGCATAACAAAACATTGAAAAAATAACGTTCATAAAACATACCTCTTGACAATTATCTTCAATTAAAACACAAACAAAATAAAATGATAATGAAAATTAATTCCGGTTAATATTTAGCTCATAACAACACGCCTTATAAAACACATATTAAAATACACATATTAATAAAACACATGTACTAATATAGCACAATATTTATTAAAACCAATATGATTTAAACACGTATGAAATTTGAAAAACAACAATGACATCAAAAGCATTTTCATCCTTGAGCATAGAGTAATGCAAAGTAATGTGTAGAGTGGAATGGGTTGTAAAGGCACGTCACACACCCGAGCAGGAAGCTGAAAAACTTCACTTCATTAAGAATCTCGTTAAACGCTCGTAAATGCTCGTTTACTTTTAGTCATCTTTTTAATCTTTGCTAGAAAATTATTAGTTGACTATGATTAAATAATTCATTTATTCATTCATTGAAAACCACGAATATTGTTATAAAAAATCCATATAATAATAATTATTAAAATAGGTACATTCAAATATATTAATGCATGATAAATAATATACAATGCTTATGCAATATACTAGCGACGTGATTCTAGGTATAATTATGAATAAAATTAAATCTACCCAAATCTAATATTGCGATTTATTCCCAGTAAACCACAAACGTCACATAAAGTTAAAGTAACGTAGCACCAAAGAAACGTTGTTACGTTTTTTTCTGGTTACGTTAATAAAACGTAAATGTTACGTTTAATTATAACCTTTAAACGTTAATGCATGGTTTTCTTTATAACGTAACCGTTAAGTTACACTGTTTTGTAAATTCAACATACAAAATGGACGGTGTGGTACAGCTGTTTCACAAAACTGTCAAAAAGATAGGTTACGTGTTCTACTCTTTTATCTATGCGAGACTCTATGCACGAAATCGCAACTGTAAGTTATGCGTCACTCTATATATTTTACATTTCTGTCTATGTATATAATAATGACTACATACTACATGGACTGTAATGGAGGCTTCATATTGAAGATCTTTTGACAAGCAAATTATTTCATTCTTTTGCAGCATTTATTTAATCATTATTTATATGATTAATGTTTTATATGATTAATGTAGAACGTAGTTATGCAGTGTGCTGTTAAAATGTTTAAAATGGAATCGATCAAGGTAAGTAAAAAGATAAAACATGTGTAAATTATTTTAATTTATATATTATTATAATAATGATTAGTTATTTTCAGTATGTAGTTGGTCATTAATGGAAATTCTATTCGCGTATTTTGTTATTTGTAGATATTTTCATCAAATGTATGTTTATCAAATAATAATTAAATTCTACAAAAAAATCATAACCTCAATGCCATCATAACCATGGTTATTGTTGAGTCAAAAAGTTATGAAACAGTAAAAATGAGATAAATAATACATATTTAACATTTGTAGCTCTTCAGTAACAAATAATATGGTTCGGAACAGGAACAAAAACTAATACAATGGTTTTCAATTGAAGAAATGATGACTCAGAACGTAATGCAGCTACAACAACGGATTCCATAGTAAAGATATTTGCTCAAATAAAGAATATGAATGCAAAGTTAGAATATAAATGAATCCACCATCATCAAGAAAAATGATTTAAAGAAGAATAACATTTTTTACAACATTAAATGATGACACTCGTGTTGTGTGTCGTGGAATTGGTATACCCCATTATGGTAGTTAGAGATGATTAGATGATTTAGTATTAATTTTTTATGATTTAGTTTTAGCAAAATTATGATTTAAAAGTCGGTGGATGAAATTCGGCTCAACTGACAAGAAACAATTAGGACAATATTTGAGCAATATGTTCATAAAAATATTATCTGCACTTTGCCCTTAATAAATAATGAAAGTAAATAGAGGTAATTAGAAGTATTGTTACAATTTATATTAATAATCACAATATTTCCAATTCATAACTTTCTATTGTTTTTACTTTAGCAAAAATATATTTAAAAATTCAGAGACAAAAATCTTTTTTATTGTCTAAATTCGATGAAGAATTAATATGTTTTTGGTATGGTTGAAAGGACTGCCTATCTGTCAATAACCTGCTCAAATAAAGAATATGAATGCAAAGTTAGAATATAAAATAATAATCCACCATCATCAAGAGAAAATGATTTGAAGAACAATAACATTTTTTACAACATTAAATGATGACACTCTTGTTGTGTGTCTTGGAATTGGTATTCCCCATTATGGTAGTTAGAGATGATTAGATGATTTAGTATTAATTTTGTATGATTTAGTTTTAGCAAAATTATGATTTAAAAGTCTGTGGATGATATTTGACTGAACTGACAAGAATCAATTAAGACAATATTTGAGCAATATGTTCATAAAAGAATTAGCTGCTATATGTTCTTAATAAATAATGAAAGTAATTAGAGGTAATTAGAAGTATTGTTACAATTTATATTAATAATCACAATATTTCCAAATCATAACTTTCTATTGTTTTTACTTCAGCAAAAATATATTTAAAAATTCAAAGACTAAAATCTTTTTTGATAAATTAATTCAATGAAGAATTAATGTTTTTGGTATGGTTGAAAGGACTGCCTAGCTGTCAATAGGTAATGTTACAAAAAATTTAAATCAATATTATCAATAAACAATTTGTAGAAATTGTTTCTAACCTGTTTGGTTCTGTTCTAGATACATTTACAAATAGAAAGCAGTGAAATGGTTTCAATTTGATAAACAAAGGTTGCCAAGAACTTTACACAAGACTTATTTTCAATGGTTAAAATTTTATAATCAAATTAAAACAGTTAATTCCATCTTGTTAAGTAGAAATTTGTTAGCATTGTTAATTTTTGTAATAGTTTAATCAAATTTTTAAATTTCAAATTTATATTCTGTAGTTTTGTAATTTTAAGTATATATATATATATATATATATATATATATATTATGTAAATTTTGTAAATTCTTAATTAAAATATGAAATAAAATTAATATAAAAAATGGTTTTTATATTTACAGGAAATTCTATTAAATTTTTAAGTTACATCAAAGACACCTACACGTTAATTTAGTAATTTAGGAAACGTAACAAAAACGAAACCGTTACGTTTTCGCGCAATTTGGAAACGTAACAGAAACGAAACCGTTACGTTTTCGCGTAACGAAACAGGCCGTTACGTTTTTGAGGCGGAAATAGATACGTCTGTGTGCCTCCTAGGTTACGTAACCGTTATGTTTCACGTATAATCTGTTACGTTCTATTAACGTTTTCATTACGTTTTGTGGTTTACTGGGTTACGAGGCATTATATGTGCCGGATCATAATAGAAAACATTTATGTTTATGTACAACTATGTACGGGTGTAAAATGTTACTCACGAAATTTAAGTCTCAAATTTTTAAATATAAAATATTTTCTGTAAAATTTAAAAACTTTCTTATAATCTTCATAAATTTAAAACTTTCGAGCATTGTTTCTTTTACCCCAATCCATAATTAATCAAGTGTGTATCCCTGATACTTGATTATATGTATCTATGGATTTATTCATATCGCCAACGCCAGCTGTCAAAACAAGATAAGTAAGCATGTGAAGCATTGAGGTTAAACAGGCCACCATACATTAATATTTTGCATATAACAAAGTAAATTATAATTAGCGTACCTTTTTAATAAATCGAAATGAATTCAGTTGAACAATTAGGAAATCCAGAATTAGTAGAATGTATGAAACAATTTCATAAAAAAATTAAAGAAATAAATGATAACCTAGATGTTGTCTTTGATTCTGATACTTGTGACAATTTAAGCGTAAAGAAAAAAGTGCAAATTGAATTGTATTTAAGTTACGCCTTGAATTCATTTTTTTGGATGCATTTAAGGACAACGGGTAAAGACCCTACTAAACACAGTGTTGTTACAGAAATGATGAAAGTACGAGAATACATGTCTAAGTACAAAGAGGTAAAATTTCATGTTTTTTTAAACTATAACAGAATGATTATTATAAACTTATTTTTGATTATATTTTGTTTCTTCACAGATTATTGACCGAGATAAAAAACCCACCGTAGATGCACAAGCAGCTAAAAGATTTATTAAAGGAGCGCTGTGGGAACCAAAAGCTAAGATTACACGATTGGATTTACCTGATAAAGACTGAGTGATGTTTTATTTGTTTATTTATTATCTTGTATTTTTATAAATTCAGATTTAAGTTTTATCTGCAAATGATAATTATTAATAAAACAAAGTTTTATAATTAACAACATCAACTATTAATTGTTTGCATCTTTGCACCTTCTTTGCATAGAAACAATTATATACAAATATTTGGTTTGTATGTTATTATAGTTAAAGTGTGTTGTTGTTGAGATGTGTGTGTAAGTTGTTTAAATGCAAACTGTCTTGAGGATGAGCAGTATTTGTTTATACATTGCTCTTATTCATAGCATGGTTTCAGTATCCAAAAATAATAGTTGTTTCAATTTAATACTATTACATAAATATTTTTCTACTAGAAAAACTACAAATGAAATAGTACTTCCTACTAAATGAATTATAAAAACTGTTCTCAATTCATTCATTGTGAATGTTGCCGCATGACCTCCTTCATCTAAAATTAATTCAAAAATTATAGTCATGCAATATCAACGTTTAGAATTATGCGATTTTTATGATAATGCGAATGAATAGATTGTCATTACTTACTCTGTGGCAACAGTTGTCCATTTCTTTTGTATTTGTTGATTTCTATACCCCACCAGTGCTCAACTAATCCAGACTCCCTAAAATTTTGAAAAATCATGAAACCATGTCTTTATGAAAGACTTTTATATCTTTTGTGAAGGTATTTTAAGAAACATGATTAATAGTCAATAATTTTCAAGTTTTATAAATAATTTTGAAATTTCAATATATATTTTTCATTTTAATATCACTAGTCTATACTAATACTAATAAATTTTAATTATTATCATTATATTGACCAATTTCATTAAATAGCAAACATTATTTATTAGTTAAATATGACACAAACCTAGCTTGCATAACAATTTTATTGAATCTATCTTTATATGGAGATAGCTTCTGAATAAGCAATGAGTTGGACCTGAACGGTGGTCCTTGTTTTAAAATGTGCAACAAGTTTCTGTCTGTTTTTGAGTCTCGCATCTGTTACGAATTTAAAAAAAGATTAATCAGAAATATAATAATTTCATACATATTCTAAAAGTATTTATCCTTACACCAATGTATATTATCAATAAGAGCTTTTTACCTCAGACCAGAACATAAGGCAGTATTTTTCTGACAACATCATTGCCGATTTTCTTTCAGAAGCAATTTTTGCAACCGCTTCTGAAACATTTGATACCAAAGATTGTTTTTTAAATAATTTTCCAAAAACTGCATCTTCTGTTGTTGTATTTAATAAACTTTTATACATGTATGTGGTTTTTATGTCCAAATTGCTAGCTGCTAAATCCTCCAGATTTTCCAAATTCAGTGTCATTTTACTAGTAGTTAAAAGCCTCACAGTTATGCCTATGGGTTAAATAAATTTATTTAAGGGGATAATAGATACTAGGGTTTGTCGGTTTTCAAAAACCGGTTTTTTGGCAAAAATTATAGAATTCGAAAACCGGTTTTTTAGTGAAAAAGTCGGTTTTCACTGTAAAAATGGAAAATGACAAATATACCGATATATAAAAGACAGATGGAAGCGTTTTGATTCTTGAAATCGTATCGGTTCAATAGCATTTGATATCTTATTAGTCTGCAATGGTTCCCAGAAATTGTATATGTTAATTTAGATTTTTATACCAGTGTATATATTAATTTAAATCAGTGTGACTTCTTCTTGAAGAAGTAACTTCCTCTACTCAAATTTAAAAAAAAAGAGTTTTGAACCCTAGAAGCCACAAATAAAAGAACAAAAAACTTAGAATTATTATATCAGGCTTTAAAAATAATTAAGCATAATTTGGTCGCAGGTATGACAATATTTTCTATTTCAGTAAATTTTGTGAGTAAACAAAGGACACGTCTAGTAGCAATTCGATAGACGTTCTCAGTTTTTTGAAATCATATTTTATTAAACAAAAAAAAACGATTAGAGTGTTTAAAATGAATTAATAAAAATTGCTTGGAACAGACAATACCCGAGTTTAGCTTAATTGTTAAAATTGATATTAACAAGTATATACATGTATCTAATATTAATTTAATAAATGTTTTTTATTTAAAAAATGTATTATTTGTATTTATTCGAAAACTTTCCTTTCACTATCATATAATAATATTTTCATTCTTATATGTGAAAATGATGCATGAATAACGAATAATTATTTTCAAATTTATTTAATCAAGATAAACTATTATTTTTTAGTTCTACTAATTAAAATTAAAATAATTTTGTTTACTCTCTATAAAATTGAACAATAAATATATTCAGTCAAATTCTGCTCTAAATCACACTAAATTTGCGGATAAAAATTACAGAATATTCGAGCAAAAATTTTTTTTTTTTATAAAATTCGAAAACCGGTTTTTTAGTAAAATTAAAATTCGAAAACCGGTTTTCTGAAATGTCGGTTTTTGTATAAACCCTAATAGATACATATACATATATACATTTGAGTATATATGTACACATATAAATTGTCCTATACGCTATAAAAAATCATATTTGTCGTTTCTTTTCTTGACCTCCAAAACTAATTCTTGCATGTGTATCTTTAAGTTTATATTGTGCATTATTATAACTATTTTTCAAGCAGTATATTAGTGATAGATGCGCAGACAAATATTGTAACTATAACGTTTTAACACTTTGAGTTTTTATGTGAATAGAAAAGTAGTTCTAATTAATTAGAAGTCTAACAGCTTAAGAGCTAAACAGCTTTATACTGAATTTTAATTTAGAAATAAGTGATTAATTATAAGTTATATTGTACTTCTAAAATGTCTATCTTAACACGTTCTCAAAATATAACAAATATCACTTTTACCTTGATAAAATGTGGAGAGTATCAATGCAAAAATGGCCAGGAATGCATAAACGCATCTCTCGTATCTAGAAACTATATTTATATTTTGTGGTGTCATTATAAATATTGCAAAAACTGATAATAATATTTCTCTAGCATTTCGTTTCTTTATATCTTCATCACATGTTTTTTCATTATTGAAAACTAATTTCTTCATGTAATAGATAAAATAATTCTAGAAATTTTAAAATATTACAAATTAATTATATGTATATATATACTAATATAATTATATAATTAATATAATTATATGTATATAATTATATGTATATATATAATTGTTTTTATTGAACATAATAAAATTTTAAACTGATTTTAAAGATTTGATATAAGTAACTGGTTAAAAATCGTATCATATTGGTGCACCTACATTCTTCAATGATATTTTTTTATTTAGTAATGGTTAACAAAAAAACACTAGTAATTTGGAAAATTCAAGAACACTTGAATACTTTTGAGTTGGTTTTCGATGGTGTGATTTCAAATCAAATTATTTAGACTTATTTATTTTCAAGGAAAAGATTTTGTATATCGCGAAAAGTTAATGCAACTTGCTTTATGGTAAAGGCACCATGCTTAGTTTATCTTAAATAACTAGCTATCATTACATAATTTTGATGTGATTGTGAATCGGTCATTTCACACCAAATGAAAATCTGATATACTGGTGGTATGAAATTCTCCGAGGTCGAACTCGAATCCGGAACTAGTGAGTTCTTTTATCTATGGTTCAAATATCAAGTAATATTTAAAAAGTTTAATAAACTAAGTTTTACCTGCATAAAGTACCAGCTTGCAGAAACAGCAAAATAAGTAAAGACTAATAACACAGCTGAAGGAGTATCGAGAATTTTTAGAAATGACATGGAATAGATGACACCATCCGAATCCATTTGCGGGGTGATAAACCAAAAACTTATTTCGTTTACTGGGTTCAAGTATCCTGATTTTCTCTGAATGATTCCAGAATAGGTATACGGCTTGTTATTTCCAAAAATTATCAGTCAAGTGCAGTTTTATAATACCTGATTTTGATCGAGAATAGGCCTTAAATTTGCAGCTAGGTCAACCTCACCTCTCTCTACGTAACCTAATATCCCAGTAAAGTCATTGGTTTCTGGATCATAGTCTCCAAATCTTGATGAATTTGAAGGAAGGGGAATGAATACTGGCTTGAAATTTGCCTAGTAAAATAAAGTTATTGGCTAATGTAAATATTGAAGAAGCTTTTTCAAGTCCAGTGCGAGTCAATGTAAATATTTATGCCAGGGGAGTTGTCCAATTGGCCAACTTGCGGATAGGGACTATTTTTGTAGAAACATAATTGTAATGAATGAAAGAAATAAATTTGTTTCATAGATTATAATACTAAAAATTTGATATTAATGCTTTACTAGAATACTAGAATTTTTGCCAGTTCTTACCCGTTCAACAAGTATATGGGTCAATTCTGCGTCTAAATTAGTATACTCCGTTCTTTTTCCACTTGTTTTATCTATGATAAGTTGAGAAACTGATTTTTTTTCAACTACAACAATTTTCAGTGGATATCTTTGCACATCCTTTAATCTTTCATCAAGCTTTTGCACAATGATTTGTGCTAAATCCTTATCTCTTTGTGCAAATTCTGGAGAGAAACCGGTAATATGCGTATTGTATACTTTGCCTCTAAGACCAGTTTTTTCATTCCAATAAAATGGATTGTACATAGACACCAGGAAGAAATCAGGTTCTGTAAATTTACAGGAACTAAAACTCTTAAAAAAATATGGAAGTGCAAACTTTTTCTTCAGTATAAAAATATATCAGAGTGATTATCGAAATTATGCAAACTTTAAAAAAAATGTAAATTAATGCTCGACAAAATGATTAATATAGTAAATAAATTCAAAATAATAGATTATGCACCTCAAATTAGATTGCATTTTTGCAAGTATTGCTGCGGTAGCATGGCAAGAAAATTGGTAACAAATCCTAATTAAAATCGTGAAAAACAATAAACTTCAATATCGAAGTTTTATTTATAATGAGTAAATAGCTGCCCTTAATGATATTTATATTAATCAATGTAATATTAATTATATACCTTTCCAATCATCATCAGTAACTTCTA